CAAGGAAGAATGGGCAAGAATTTCAGTCTCGATGTGCAAAACTGATAGGGCATACCCAAGCGACTTACAGCTGTAATGGCAACAAGGTGGCTCTACAAAATATTAACGCCAAGGGGCGAATAATTTTGCCGCACCACTTTTCAGTTTTTATTTGCTAAAAAGTTTCAAAATCAAGGATTCGTTCCACTTCACAATTGTGTGTCCCACTTGTTGCTGATTCTTCACCAAAAGTTAAATTCTATATTCTTTATGTTTGAAGCCTGAAATGTGGCAAAAGGTTGAAAAGTTCAAGGGGGGCGAATAACTTTCGCAGGCACTGTAAAATAAGCTCCAGTTAGTCCAGAATGCAGCTGCTTAGAGTCGTAACTAGAACTAGAAGATACGACCACATCACCCCAATCTTATCCACACTGCATTGGCTCCCTGTAAAATCTCGCATTAGGTTTAAAATACTTTTATTAACCTATAAAAGCACTACGGTCTTGCACCACAATATCTAAGCGACCTTCTGGTTTTATATGATCCGCATACGCCTACTCAGATCAAAAGGTGCAGGCTATTTGATATTACCTAGAATAGTGAAGTCTACAGCAGGGGGAAGAGCCTTCGCTTATACAGCCCACAGTTATGGAACAGTCTTCCTATTAGTGTTAGGGACTCAGACATAGTCTCAGTGTTCAAGTCTAGGCTTAAAACATATTTGTTTACTCAAGCTTACCCTGACTAGATTATATCTCACTACTTCACAGTCCTAATCGTTTTTCTCCTGCTCTCTCTTTTTTGCCGTGCCCCACCAATTTATGGAGATATTGAGATCCAGATCCCTTCTGCCTCTGGATGAGCCCAAATCTTCTGCTGGGACTCGTGACTGCTCAGGAAACCATACATACTTCTCATTTCACATTATCTTATTAGTTACCTTCACATTCTGTGTTACCCAGATGAGGATGGGTTTCCCTTCTAGAGTCGGGTTCCTCTCAAGGTTTCTTCCTCAAAAAACATCTTAGGGAGTTTTTCCTTGCCACCGTCGCCACTCAGTGGCTTGCTCAATTGGGATAAATTCCATTTGTTTTCTACCTGTTTGTCTCTGTTTATCTGTTCCTGTTTGTCTCTCTTTATCTGTTTCTGACTGTTTATACCTGTTTTTATTTCTGTACAGCTGTTTTGAGACAATGAATATTGTAAAAAGCGCTATACAAAATAAATTGAATTGAATTGAATTGAATTGAATTGAATTGAATTGAATTGAATGTGAGCAGTTCAACTCTGAATAAGGAGCTTGTTGATGCTAATCTGTTTATCATAGGGAAGCCCTTTGCAGAGAATGCACTGTCCAGGATGAATCAATTTCAGCCCTCGTCCAAAATAGGAATTAAGCATCCAGAACAAAATAGGTGCCCCAGTGGAGTACTGGTACCATGCAAGGTTGCCATCCTTATGAATCCCGGCAGGAGTAGTTGTTCTTGTCACTTTTAAAGGACACGTTGACAAAACCTGCATGAGTTCTATGAACACAGTCAATTTTAAGCTGTTCTTTGAAGTTTCTATTGTGAGAAGTTCCCTCAGATTCCATGTCAAAGGCACTAAAATGTAATGGTGGTGCACAAGATTAAAGCTATTCTGAACTGGCCATGAATCCTGCCACGCACATCCTATTGGTGTTGGTCCATTTATCATAGGAAGCACCTTCCTTTCAGGTTTAGCATACCTTACCAAGCAAAAAGGCTGAAACTTGACCCAGATGGGTCTCGAACATCAACTCGAGGCTGATGCCTTATCCATTAGGCAGACTTTGGAAAGCTCTGGAGCCCTGTGTCCATTTTTCTTATTTTGGACGAGGGCTGTGCGCCTTATCCATTTGGCCACTGGGTCAAAGTGAATAGCCACAGTTGACCGTGGTTGAGAGTTTGCTAGTTTTCATCCCCCAGAGTTGGTATTCCAAGGCAGTAACCAAGGTAGGCTAAACCTGAAAGGAAAGCGTTTCCTGTGATAAATGGATCAACATACTAACAGGATGTGAACGATTCCTGACGCCAATTCAGAAGAGAATCTTGTGCACCATCATTACCTGAGTGCCTTTATGCTAGACCGTGTCCATTTTTCCTATTTTGGACAAGGGCTGAAATTGATTCATCCTGGACGATGCATTCTCGGCAAAGGGGCTTCCTATGATAAACAGATTAGCATCAACAAGCTCCTTATTCAGAGCTTGACTGCTCACATCACATGATTGTCTCGCCAGCAATTGACTAACTATGTTACAAAGCTTGCTTGGTGTGGTTGAGAGTTTGCTAGTTTTCATCGCCAGAGTTGGTATTCCAAGGCAGTAACCAAAGGTAGGCTAAACCTGAATGGGTGAAATCCAATAAAGAGTCTTTTCTGCTCAACAGACTAGCATCAACATTGTCCTTGACCGTTGACGTCACACGATGACGGGAAGCTTAGTCGTGTTGACTGGTGTCTATGCAGCCTTCCAAACACCCCAGTAGCCACAGGCTCAGGGTTCAATTAGTATTTTCCAATCTGAAACGTAAAAGATGGGCTCATCCGGGATTTGAACCCGGGACCTCTCGCACCCTAAGCGAGAATCATACCCCTAGACCAACGAGCCAAATAGCTGCTATTGAGCAAATCCTTCTGCAGGTCCTTGCTAAACTGTTCCCACATGTGATCAACATGTTACAGTGAAGGATATAATTCTGCAACAATTCTTGGGCTGATGCCTTATCCATTTGGCCACTGGGTCAAAGTGAATAGCCAGCTCTAGCTGATTTTCTTGCTTACACATATGCTAGCAACGAGAGGAAATGCTTTTAGATTCATTTTGCACATTCACAGCTACCGTCTAGCCCTTTCCTGGCAGACTTTGGAAAGCTCTGGAACCTTATCTCATGATCTATGTGCAAGACCTGTGTCCATTTTTCTTATTTTGGACAAGGGCTGATGCCTTATCCATTAGGCCACTGGGCAAAAGTGAATAGCCAGCTCTAGCTGATTTTCTTGCTTACACATATACTAGCTACTAGAGGAAATGCTTTTAGATTGATTTTGCACATTCACAGCTACCGTCTAGCCCTTTCCTGGCAGACTTTGGAAAGCTCTGGAACCTTATCTCATGATCTACGTGCAAGACCTGTGTCCATTTTTCTTATTTTGGACAAGGGCTGATGCCTTATCCATTAGGCCACTGGGCAAAAGTGAATAGCCAGCTCTAGCTGATTTTCTTTGTAACCCCTTCCTGGCCGGAAGTGTAATATTAGAGAAGGTTACTACAGTAAATGGTTTTAATGAACAGGATCCTGAGTATTTAGCAGTTGATGGGGAATTTGGCTAACCTCTATTTACCAGTCGATGATGTTATACAGGCAGAACTGTATGGAAATGATTTAATCCCTAATAGCGCGGTGCCTCCACTGAAGAATTTCCCCACTCACACACTATGAGCGATATTGTTATTCCCCAGAAACAAATATTGAGTATAACTAGACCAAATATATATAAACCTAATTAAATAAAAAAAGACAAGTCCAGTAAAGCCAGGTAGTATGTATAACAAAAATAACCACATTTATTATGCTAAACAAAAAAACTTCAAACTGTATACATATATTAGAAACAAAATTTAGACCAGTAACTCACACACTCTTTTCTAATTATTAAACACCAGGAACAGTACAGTTTTGGATTTAACCACTTAAACCCTTTTTTAACTGTTCAGAACCTTCACCAAGCGCTTGTTTTTTTTTCTGTTGGGGCCCGTGATTTGGTGCACATACAAACAAAAATCCTCCTTGGTTCCTTTAATGACCGCTACCAAAACCTCTCTGTTACTCACGCCTCTGGAACAGAAGAATTAGCCACTGTGGTCACGAGCTGAGAGAATGAATCCACGGCACGCAAGGTTCCAGGAGGTTAATTCAGCGACGGGTTCAGCGATGGAGTTCCTCCTTAAACAGCGTAGTAGCTACCATGCTACCTAGCACAGTTCAGCACAGTTCTCCACAGTACTCGTCCTTCAGTTTCACAGCGACACTGCGACTGGCGGTTACAGATGTCCGTCCCTCACGAAGACATTAGTTTAACGTCCACGAGTTACAGATTGTACTTAGCTTTGTTTTTTCCCAAGCTAGTGCAAAACAAACAAACGCAGCTAAGCTAGCACTTCACCTTACAGTTCACAAATTTACCCAGCGGATAGTTGCTCTCCTTTGCGTGAATAAAATGATATTTGTGCCACTACTTTAATAGAAGTTTAGTCTACAAACATCACCTCTGCGCGTTAAAAACTCGGTTCTCTTTTTTTCTTTTCCCCGCTCTCTCCTCCAGCGTGTTTCTCCCTCTCCTCTTCGCTACTACCTCCCCCCTCCTTTCCTTTTTTTCCTCTTTTCCCCTCCCCAACAAAGGTGACCTCTGATTGGCTAGGAGTTTAATTAAAAAGGCAACCCATTGGCTTGAACTACTCCAATGGAAACAAATTGCAACGTATTCAAAAACAAAGGACCATGGGAAATGTAGTCTCAACTGAATCCACACCAAAAATGCAGCAAGCACACCATTTATTCAACTACATCTTTGGGAGGTGCCTACATCTTGCTTACACATATGCTAGCAACGAGAGGAAATGCTTTTAGATTGATTTTGCACATTCACAGCTACCCTCTAGCCCTTTCCTGTCAGACTTTGGAAAGCTCTGGAACCTTATCTCATGATCTACGTGCAAGACCTGTGTCCATTTTTCTTATTTTGGACAAGGGCGATGCCTTATCCATTAGCCACTAACTATGTTACAAAGCTTGCTTGGTGTGGTTGGAGTTGCTAGATCGCAGGTTGTATCCAAGCAGTAACAAGGGTACAAACCTGAATGGGTAAATCAATAAAGATCTTTTCTGCTCAACAGCTAGCATCAACATTGTCCTTGACCGTTGACGTAACAGCAAAGCGTGACGTGCAGGCCAAAACCAAGCCACACAGTCAATAGTTCAATCTGAAACGTAAAAGATGAGCTCATCCGGATTTGAACCCGGGACCTCTCACACCCAACCGAGAATCAACCCCTAGACCAACGAGCAAAATAGCTGCTACTAAGAAAATCCTTCTGCAGGTCCTTGCTAAACTGTTGCACATGTGAGCAAATGTTACAGTGAAGGATATAATTCTGCAACAACTCTTGGGCTGATGCCTTATCCATTTGGCCACTGGGTCAAAGTGAATAGCCAGCTCTAGCTGATTTTCTTGCTTACACATATATACGTAACGAGAGGAAATGCTTTTAGATTCATTTTGCACATTCACAGCTACCGTCTAGCCCTTTCCTGGCAGACTTTGGAAAGCTCTGGAACCTTATCTCATGATCTACGTGCAAGACCTGTGTCCATTTTTTTATTTTGGACAAGGGCTGATGCCTTACATACACTAACTATGTTACAAAGCTTGCTGGTGTGGTTGAATTGCTAGTTTTCATCGCCAGGTTGGTATTCAAGGCAGTAACCAAGGGTAGGCTAAACCTGAATGGGTAAAATCAATAAAGAGTCTTTTCTGCTCAACAGACTAGCATCAACATTGTCCTTGACGTTGGCTCACCACGATGGCGGGAACTTAGTCGTGTTACTGGTGTCTATGCAGCCTTCAAACACCCCAGTAGCCACAGGCTCAGGGTTCAATTAGTATTTTCAATCTGAAACGTAAAGATGGGCTCATCGGGATTTGAACCGGGACCTCTCACACCCAAGGCGAATCATACCCCTAGACCAACGAGCAAAATAGCTGCTACTAAGAAAATCTTTCTGCAGGTCCTTGCTAAACTGTTGCACATGTGAGCAAAATGTTACAGTGAAGATATAATTCTGCAACAATCTTGGGCTGATGCCTTATCCATTTGGCCACTGGGTCAAAGTGAATAGCCAGCTCTAGCTGATTTTCTTGCTTACACATATGCTAGCAACAAGAGGAAATGCTTTTAGATTCATTTTGCACATTCACAGCTACCCTCTAGCCCTTTCCTGGCAGACTTTGGAAAGCTCTGGAACCTTATCTCATGATCTACGTGCAAGACCTGTGTCCATTTTTCTTATTTTGGACAAGGGCTGATGCCTTATCCATTAGGCCACTGGGCAAAAGTGAATAGCCAGCTCTAGCTGATTTTCTTGCTTACACATATACTTGCTACTAGAGGAAATGCTTTTAGATTGATTTTGCACATTCACAGCTACCGTCTAGCCCTTTCCTGGCAGACTTTGGAAAGCTCTGGAACCTTATCTCATGATCTACGTGCAAGACCTGTGTCCATTTTTATTATTTTGGACAAGGGCTGATGCCTTATCCATTAGGCCACTGGGCAAAAGTGAATAGCCAGCTCTAGCTGATTTTCTTTGTAACCCCTTCCTGGCGCCGGAAGTGTAATATTAGAGAAGGTTACTACAGTAAATGGTTTTAATGAACAGGATCCTGAGTATTTATCAGTTGATGGTGAATTTGGCTAACCTCTATTTACCAGTCGATGATGTTATACAGGCAGAACTGTATGGAAATGATTTAATCCCTAATAGCGGGGTGCCTCCACTGAAGAATTTCCCCACTCACACACTATGACCGATATTGTTATTCCCCCAGAAACAAATATTGAGTATAACTAGACCAAATATATATAAACCTAATTAAATAAAAAAAGACAAGTCCAGTAAAGCCAGGTAGTATGTATAACAAAAATAACCACATTTATTATGCTAAACAAAAAAACTTCAAACTGTATACATATATTAGAAACAAAATTTAGACCAGTAACTCACACACTCCTTTCTAATTATTAAACACCAGGAACAGTACAGTTTGGATTTTACCACTTAAACCCTTTTTTAACTGTTCAGAACCTTCACCAAGCGCTTGTTTTTTTTCTGTTGGGGCCCGTGATTTGGTGCACATACAAACAAAAATCCTCCTTGGTTCCTTTAATGAACGCTACCAAAACCTCTCTGTTACTCACGCCTCTGGAACAGAAGAATTAGCCACTGTGGTCACGAGCTGAGAGAATGAATCCACGCCCGCAAGGTTCCAGGAGGTTAATTCAGCGACGCAGGTTCAGCGATGGAGTTCCTCCTTAAACAGCGTAGTAGCTACCATGCTACCTAGCACAGTTCAGCACAGTTCTCCACAGTACTCGTCCTTCAGTTTCACAGCGACACTGCGACTGGCGGTTACAGATGTCCGTCCCTCACGAAGACATTAGTTTAACGTCCACGAGTTACAGATTGTACTTAGCTTTGTTTTTCCCAAGCTAGTGCAAAACAAACAAACGCAGCTAAGCTAGCACTTCACCTTACAGTTCACAAATTTACCGAGCGGATAGTTGCTCTCCTTTCGCTGAATAAAATGATATTTGTGCCACTACTTTAATAGAAGTTTAGTCTACAAACATCACCTCTGCGTTAAAACTTCGGTTCTCTTTTTCTTTTCCCCGCTCTCCTCCCGCGTGTTTCTCCCTCTCCTCTTCGCTACCTCTCCCCCTCCTTTCCTTTTTTTCCTCTTTTCCCCTCCCCAACAAAGGTGACCTCTGATTGGCTAGGAGTTTAATTAAAAAGGCAACCCATTGGCTTGAACTACTCCAATGGAAACAAATTGCAACGTATTCAAAAACAAAGGACCATGGGAAATGTAGTCTCAACTGAATCCACCCAAAAATGCAGCAAGCACACCATTTATTCAACTACATCTTTGGGAGGTGCCTACATCTTGCTTACACATATGCTAGCAACGAGAGGAAATGCTTTTAGATTGATTTTGCACATTCACAGCTACCCTCTAGCCCTTTCCTGTCAGACTTTGGAAAGCTCTGGAACCTTATCTCATGATCTACGTGCAAGACCTGTGTCCATTTTTCTTATTTTGGACAAGGGCTGATGCCTTATCCATTAGTCCACTAACTATGTTACAAAGCTTGCTTGGTGTGGTTGAGAGTTTGCTAGTTTTCATCGCCAGAGTTGGTATTCCAAGGCAGTAACCAAGGGTAGGCTAAACCTGAATGGGTAAAATCCAATAAAGAGTCTTTTCTGCTCAACAGACTAGCATCAACATTGTCCTTGACCGTTGACGTCACACGATGACGGGAAGCTTAGTCGTGTTGACTGGTGTCTATGCAGCCTTCCAAAAACCCCAGTAGCCACAGGCTCAGGGTTCAATTAGTATTTTCCAATCTGAAACGTAAAGATGGGCTCATCCGGATTTGAACCCGGGACCTCTCACACCCAAGGCGAATCATACCCCTAGACCAACGGAGCCAAATAGCTGCTACTAAGAAAATCTTTCTGCAGGTCCTTGCTAAACTGTTGGCACATGTGAGCAAAATGTTACAGTGAAGGATATAATTCTGCAACAATTCTTGGGCTGATACCTTATCCATTTGGCCACTGGGTCAAAGTGAATAGCCAGCTCTAGCTGATTTTCTTGCTTACACATATGCTAGCGGCGAGGAAATGCTTTTAGATTCATTTTGCACATCACAGCTACCGTCTAGCCCTTTCCTGGCAGACTTTGGAAAGCTCTGGAACCTTATCTCATGATCTATGTGCAAGACCTGTGTCCATTTTTCTTATTTTGGACAAGGGCTGATGCCTTATCCATTAGGCCACTGGGCAAAAGTGAATAGCCAGCTCTAGCTGATTTTCTTGCTTACACATATGCTAGCAACGAGAGGAATTGCTTTTAGATTCATTTTGCACATTCACAGCTACCCTCTAGCCCCTTTCCTGGCAGACTTTGGAAAGCTCTGGAACCTTATCTCATGATCTACGTGCAAGACCTGTGTCCATTTTCCTATTTTGGACAAGGGCTGAAATTGATTCATCCTGGACGATGCATTCTCGGCAAAGGGGCTTCCTATGATAAACAGATTAGCATCAACAAGCTCCTTATCAGAGCTTGACTGCTCACATCACATGATTGTCTCGCCAGCAATTGACTAACTATGTTACAAAGCTTGCTTGGTGTGGTTGAGAGTTTGCTAGTTTTCATCGCCAGAGTTGGTATTCCAAGGCAGTAACCAAAGGTAGGCTAAACCGAATGGGTGAAATCAATAAAGAGTCTTTTCTGCTCAACAGACTAGCATCAACATTGTCCTTGACCGTTGACGTCACCACGACACGGAAGCTTAGTCGTGTTGACTGGTGTCTATGCAGCCTTCCAAACACCCCAGTAGCCACAGGCTCAGGGTTCAATTAGTATTTCAATCTGAAACGTAAAAGATGGGCTCATCGGGATTGAACCGGGACCTCTCGCACCCTAAGCGAGAATCATACCCCTAGACCAACGAGCCAAATTGCTGCTATTGAGCAAATCCTTCTGCAGGTCCTTGCTAAACTGTTCCCACATGTGATCAGAATGTTACAGTGAAGGATATAATTCTGCAACAATTCTTGGGCTGATGCCTTATCCATTTGGCCACTGGGTCAAAGTGAATAGCCAGCTCTAGCTGATTTTCTTGCTTACACATATGCTAGCAACGAGAGGAAATGCTTTTAGATTCATTTTGCACATTCACAGCTACCGTCTAGCCCTTTCCTGGCAGACTTTGGAAAGCTCTGGAACCTTATCTCATGATCTATGTGCAAGACCTGTGTCCATTTTTCTTATTTTGGACAAGGGCTGATGCCTTATCCATTTGGCCACTGGGTCAAAGTGAATAGCCAGCTCTAGCTGATTTTCTTGCTTATACATATGCTAGCAACAAGAGGAAATGCTTTTAGATTCATTTTGCACATTCACAGCTACCCTCTAGCCCTTTCCTGGCAGACTTTGGAAAGCTCTGGAACCTTATCTCATGATCTACGTGCAAGACCTGTGTCCATTTTTCTTATTTTGGACAAGGGCTGATGCCTTATCCATTAGGCCACTGGGCAAAAGTGAATACCCAGCTCTAGCTGATTTTCTTGCTTACACATATACTTGCTACTAGAGGAAATGCTTTTAGATTGATTTTGCACATTCACAGCTACCGTCTAGCCCTTTCCTGGCAGACTTTGGAAAGCTCTGGAACCTTATCTCATGATCTACGTGCAAGACCTGTGTCCATTTTTCTTATTTTGGACAAGGGCTGATGCCTTATCCATTAGGCCACTGGGCAAAAGTGAATAGCCAGCTCTAGCTGATTTTCTTTGTAACCCCTTCCTGGCGCCGGAAGTGTAATATTAGAGAAGGTTACTACAGTAAATGGTTTTAATGAACAGGATCCTGAGTATTTAGCAGTTGATGGTGAATTTGGCTAACCTCTATTTACCAGTCGATGATGTTATACAGGCAGAACTGTATGGAAATGATTTAATCCCTAATAGCGCGGTGCCTCCACTGAAGAATTTCCCCACTCACACACTATGAGCGATATTGTTATTCCCCAGAAACAAATATTGAGTATAACTAGACCAAATATATATAAACCTAATTAAATAAAAAAAGACAAGTCCAGTAAAGCCAGGTAGTATGTATAACAAAAATAACCACATTTATTATGCTAAACAAAAAAACTTCAAACTGTATACATATATTAGAAACAAAATTTAGACCAGTAACTCACACACTCCTTTCTAATTATTAAACACCAGGAACAGTACAGTTTGGATTTTACCACTTAAACCCTTTTTTAACTGTTCAGAACCTTCACCAAGCGCTTGTTTTTTTTCTGTTGGGGCCCGTGATTTGGTGCACATACAAACAAAAATCCTCCTTGGTTCCTTTAATGAACGCTACCAAAACCTCTCTGTTACTCACGCCTCTGGAACAGAAGAATTAGCCACTGTGGTCACGAGCTGAGAGAATGAATCCACGGCACGCAAGGTTCCAGGAGGTTAATTCAGCGACGCAGGTTCAGCGATGGAGTTCCTCCTTAAACAGCGTAGTAGCTACCATGCTACCTAGCACAGTTCAGCACAGTTCTCCACAGTACTCGTCCTTCAGTTTCACAGCGACACTGCGACTGGCGGTTACAGATGTCCGTCCCTCACGAAGACATTAGTTTAACGTCCACGAGTTACAGATTGTACTTAGCTTTGTTTTTCCCAAGCTAGTGCAAAACAAACAAACGCAGCTAAGCTAGCACTTCACCTTACAGTTCACAAATTTACCGAGCGGATAGTTGCTCTCCTTTCGCTGAATAAAATGATATTTGTGCCACTACTTTAATAGAAGTTTAGTCTACAAACATCACCTCTGCGTTAAAACTCGGTTCTCTTTTTTTCTTTTCCCCGCTCTCCTCCGCGTGTTTCTCCCTCTCCTCTTCGCTACCTCTCCCCTCCCCTTTCCTTTTTTTTCCTCTTTTCCCCTCCCCAACAAAGGTGACCTCTGATTGGCTAGGAGTTTAATTAAAAAGGCAACCCATTGGCTTGAACTACTCCAATGGAAACAAATTGCAACGTATTCAAAAACAAAGGACCATGGGAAATGTAGTCTCAACTGAATCCACCCAAAAATGCAGCAAGCACACCATTTATTCAACTACATCTTTGGGAGGTGCCTACATCTTGCTTACACATATAGCAACGAGAGGAAATGCTTTTAGATTGATTTTGCGCATTCACAGCTACCCTCTAGCCCTTTCCTGTCAGACTTTGGAAAGCTCTGGAACCTTATCTCATGATCTACGTGCAAGACCTGTGTCCATTTTTCTTATTTTGGACAAGGGCTGATGCCTTATCCATTAGTCCACTAACTATGTTACAAAGCTTGCTTGGTGTGGTTGAGAGTTTGCTAGTTTTCATCGCCAGAGTTGGTATTCCAAGGCAGTAACCAAGGGGTAGGCTAAACCTGAATGGGTAAAATCCAATAAAGAGTCTTTTCTGCTCAACAGACTAGCATCAACATTGTCCTTGACCGTTGACGTCCCACGATGCGGGAAGCTTAGTCGTGTTGACTGGTGTCTATGCAGCCTTCCAAAAACCCCAGTAGCCACAGGCTCAGGGTTCAATTAGTATTTTCAATCTGAAACGTAAAAGATGGCGCATCCGGGATTTGAACCGGGACCTCACACACCAGGCGAGAATCATACCCCTAGACCAACGAGCCAAATAGCTGCTACTAAGAAAATCCTTTCGGCAGGTCCTTGCTAAACTGTTCGCACATGTGAGCAAAATGTTACAGTGAAGGATATAATTCTGCAACAATTCTTGGGCTGATACCTTATCCATTTGGCCACTGGGTCAAAGTGAATAGCCAGCTCTAGCTGATTTTTCTTGCTTACACATATGCTAGCAACGAAGGAAATGCTTTTAGATTCATTTTGCACATTCACAGCTACCCTCTAGCCCTTTCCTGGCAGACTTTGGAAAGCTCTGGAACCTTATCTCATGATCTACGTGCAAGACCTGTGTCCATTTTTCTTATTTTGGACAAGGGCTGATGCCTTATCCATTAGTCCACTAACTATGTTACAAAGCTTGCTTGGTGTGGTTGAGAGTTTGCTAGTTTTCATCGCCAGAGTTGGTATTCCAAGGCAGTAACCAAGGGTAGGCTAAACCTGAATGGGTGAAATCCAATAAAGAGTCTTTTCTGCTCAACAGACTAGCATCAACATTGTCCTTGACCGTTGACGTCACCACGATGACGGAAGCTTAGTCGTGTTGACTGGTGTCTATGCAGCCTTCCAAACACCCCAGTAGCCACAGGCTCAGGGTTCAATTAGTATTTTTCAATCTGAAACGTAAAGATGGGCTCATCGGGTTTGAACCGGGACCTCTCACACCCAAGGCGAGAATCATACCCCTAGACCAACGAGCAAAATAGCTGCTACTAAGAAAATCTTTCTGCAGGTCCTTGCTAAACTGTTGGCACATGTGAGCAAAATGTTACAGTGAAGGATATAATTCTGCAACAATTCTTGGGCTGATGCCTTATCCATTTGGCCACTGGGTCAAAGTGAATAGCCAGCTCTAGCTGATTTTCTTGCTTACACATATGCTAGCGACGAGAGGAAATGCTTTTAGATTCATTTTGCACATTCACAGCTACCGTCTAGCCCTTTCCTGGCAGACTTTGGAAAGCTCTGGAACCTTATCTCATGATCTATGTGCAAGACCTGTGTCCATTTTTCTTATTTTGGACAAGGGCTGATGCCTTATCCATTAGGCCACTGGGCAAAAGTGAATAGCCAGCTCTAGCTGATTTTCTTGCTTAACATATGCTAGCAACGAGAGGAATTGCTTTTAGATTCATTTTGCACATTCACAGCTACCCTCTAGCCCTTTCCTGGCAGACTTTGGAAGCTCTGGAACCTTATCTCATGATCTACGGCAAGACCTGTGTCCATTTTTCCTATTTTGGACAAGGGCTAAATTGATTCATCCTGGACGATGCATTCTCGGCAAAGGGGCTTCCTATGATAAACAGATTAGCATCAACAAGCTCCTTATCAGAGCTTGACTGCTCACATCACATGATTGTCTCGCCAGCAATTGACTAACTATGTTACAAAGCTTGCTTGGTGTGGTTGAGAGTTTGCTAGTTTTCATCGCCAGAGTTGGTATTCCAAGGCAGTAACCAAGGTAGGCTAAACCTGAATGGGTGAAATCCAATAAAGAGTCTTTTCTGCTCAACAGAAGCATCAACATTGTCTTGACCGTGACGTCACACGAGGGAAGTAGGTGGTTAGCTCAACACCCTAGACAGGCTGGGATTAGTATTTTCCAATCTGAAACGTAAAGATGGGCTCATCCGGGTTGAACCCGGGACCTCTCCCACACCCTAAGGGAGAATCAACCCCCTAGACCAACGAGGCCAAATTGCTGCTATTGAGCAAATCCTTCTGCAGGTCCTTGCTAAACTGTTCCCACATGTGATCAGAATGTTACAGTGAAGGATATAATTCTGCAACAATTCTTGGGCTGATGCCTTATCCATTTGGCCACTGGGTCAAAGTGAATAGCCAGCTCTAGCTGATTTTCTTGCTTACACATATGCTAGCAACGGAGGAAATGCTTTTAGATTCATTTTGCACATTCACAGCTACCGTCTAGCCCTTTCCTGGCAGACTTTGGAAAGCTCTGGAACCTTATCTCATGATCTATGTGCAAGACCTGTGTCCATTTTTCTTATTTTGGACAAGGGCTGATGCCTTATCCATTTGGCCACTGGGTCAAAGTGAATAGCCAGCTCTAGCTGATTTTCTTGCTTATACATATGCTAGCAACAAGAGGAAATGCTTTTAGATTCATTTTGCACATTCACAGCTACCCTCTAGCCCTTTCCTGGCAGACTTTGGAAAGCTCTGGAACCTTATCCCATGATCTATGTGCAAGACCTGTGTCCATTTTTCTTATTTTGGACAAGGGCTGATGCCTTATCCATTAGGCCACTGGGCAAAAGTGAATACCCAGCTCTAGCTGATTTTCTTGCTTACACATATACTTGCTACTAGAGGAAATGCTTTTAGATTGATTTTGCACATTCACAGCTACCGTCTAGCCCTTTCCTGGCAGACTTTGGAAAGCTCTGGAACCTTATCTCATGATCTACGTGCAAGACCTGTGTCCATTTTTCTTATTTTGGACAAGGGCTGATGCCTTATCCATTAGGCCACTGGGCAAAAGTGAATAGCCAGCTCTAGCTGATTTTCTTTGTAACCCCTTCCTGGCGCCGGAAGTGTAATATTAGAGAAGGTTACTACAGTAAATGGTTTTAATGAACAGGATCCTGAGTATTTACGCAGTTGATGGTGAATTTGGCTAACCTCTATTTACCAGTCGATGATGTTATACAGGCAGAACTGTATGGAAATGATTTAATCCCTAATGGCCGTTGCCTCCACTGAAGAATTTCCCCCACTCACACACTATGAGCGATATTGTTATTCCCCAGAAACAAATATTGAGTATAACTAGACCAAATATATATAAACCTAATTAAATAAAAAAAAGACAAGTCCAGTAAAGCCAGGTAGTATGTATAACAAAAATAACCACATTTATTATGCTAAACAAAAAACTTCAAACTGTATACATATATTAGAAACAAAATTTAGACCAGTAACTCACACACTCCTTTCTAATTATTAAACACCAGGAACAGTACAGTTTGGATTTTACCACTTAAACCCTTTTTTAACTGTTCAGAACCTTCACCAAGCGCTTGTTTTTTTTCTGTTGGGGCCCGTGATTTGGTGCACATACAAACAAAAATCCTCCTTGGTTCCTTTAATGAACGCTACCAAAACCTCTCTGTTACTCACGCCTCTGGAACAGAAGAATTAGCCACTGTGGTCACGAGCTGAGAGAATGAATCCACGGCACGCAAGGTTCCAGGAGGTTAATTCAGCGACGCAGGTTCAGCGATGGAGTTCCTCCTTAAACAGCGTAGTAGCTACCATGCTACCTAGCACAGTTCAGCACAGTTCTCCACAGTACTCGTCCTTCAGTTTCACAGCGACACTGCGACTGGCGGTTACAGATGTCCGTCCCTCACGAAGACATTAGTTTAACGTCCACGAGTTACAGATTGTACTTAGCTTTGTTTTTCCCAAGCTAGTGCAAAACAAACAAACGCAGCTAAGCTAGCACTTCACCTTACAGTTCACAAATTTACCGGCGGATAGTTTGCTCTCCTTTCGCTGAATAAAATGATATTTGTGCCACTACTTTAATAGAAGTTTAGTCTACAAACATCACCTCTGCGTTAAAACTTCGGTTCTCTTTTTTTTCTTTCCCCCGCTCTCCTCCCGCGTGTTTCTCCCTCTCCTCTTCGCTACCTCTCCCCCTCCTTTCCTTTTTTTCCTCTTTTCCCCTCCCCAACAAAGGTGACCTCTGATTGGCTAGGAGTTTATAAAAAAGGCAACCCATTGGCTTGAACTACTCCAATGGAAACAAATTCGCAACGTATTCAAAAACAAAGGACCATGGGAAATGTAGTCTCAACTGAATCCACCCAAAAATGCAGCAAGCACACCATTTATTCAACTACATCTTTGGGAGGTGCCTACATCTTGCTTACACATATGCTAGCAACGAGAGGAAATGCTTTTAGATTGATTTTGCGCATTCACAGCTACCCTCTAGCCCTTTCCTGGCAGACTTTGGAAAGCTCTGGAACCTTATCTCATGATCTACGTGCAAGACCTGTGTCCATTTTTCTTATTTTGGACAAGGGCTGAAATATTTGCCTTATCCAAAAAAAAATTAGTCCTTACTAACTATAGTTACAAAGCTTGCTTGGTGTGGTTGAGAGTTTGCTAGTTTTCATCGCCAGAGTTGGTATTCCAAGGCAGTAACCAAAGGTAGGCTAAACCTGAATGGGTGAAATCCAATAAAGAGTCTTTTCTGCTCAACAGACTAGCATCAACATTGTCCTTGACCGTTGACGTCACACGATGACGGGAAGCTTAGTCGTGTTGACTGGTGTCTATGCAGCCTTCCAAACACCCCAGTAGCCACAGGCTCAGGGTTCAATTAGTATTTTCCAATCTGAAACCTAAAAGATGGGCTCATCCGGAGTTTGAACCCGGGACCTCTCGCACCCAAATCGAGAATCATACCCCTAGACCAACGAGCCAAATAGCTGCTACTAAGAAAATCTTTCTGCAGGTCCTTGCTAAACTGTTGGCACATGTGAGCAAAATGTTACAGTGAAGGATATAATTCTGCAACAATTCTTGGGCTGATGCCTTATCCATTTGGCCACTGGGTCAAAGTGAATAGCCAGCTCTAGCTGATTTTCTTGCTTACACATATGCTAGCAACGAGAGGAAATGCTTTTAGATTGATTTTGCACATTCACAGCTACCCTCTAGCCCTTTCCTGGCAGACTTTGGAAAGCTCTGGAACCTTATCTCATGATCTATGTGCAAGACCTGTGTCCATTTTTCTTATTTTGGACAAGGGCTGATGCCTTATCCATTAGGCCACTGGGCAAAAGTGAATAGCCAGCTCTAGCTGATTTTCTTGCTTACACATATACTAGCAACGAGAGGAAATGCTTTTAGATTGATTTTGCACATTCACACCCACCCTCTCCCCCTTTTTCGGCCGGTTTGGGGGAGGGGGGGAACCTTATCTCATGATCTACGTGCAAGACCTGTGTCCATTTTTCTCAATTTTGGACAAGGGCTGAAATTGATTCATCCTGGACGATGCATTCTCGGCAAAGGGGCTTCCTATGATAAACAGATTAGCATCAACAAGCTCCTTATTCAGAGCTTGACTGCTCACATCACATGATTGTCTCGCCAGCAATTGACTAACTATGTTACAAAGCTTGCTTGGTGTGGTTGAGAGTTTGCTAGTTTTCATCGCCAGAGTTGGTATTCCAAGGCAGTAACCAAAGGTAGGCTAAACCTGAATGGGTGAAATCCAATAAAGAGTCTTTTCTGCTCAACAGACTAGCATCAACATTGTCCTTGACCGTTGACGTCACACGATGACGGGAAGCTTAGTCGTGTTGACTGGTGTCTATGCAGCCTTCCAAACACCCCAGTAGCCACAGGCTCAGGGTTCAATTAGTATTTTCCAATCTGAAACGTAAAAGATGGGCTCATCCGGGATTTGAACCCGGGACCTCTCGCACCCTAAGCGAGAATCATACCCCTAGACCAACGAGCCAAATAGCTGCTACTAAGAAAATCTTTCTGCAGGTCCTTGCTAAACTGTTGGCACATGTGAGCAAAATGTTACAGTGAAGGATATAATTCTGCAACAATTCTTGGGCTGATGCCTTATCCATTTGGCCACTGGGTCAAAGTGAATAGCCAGCTCTAGCTGATTTTCTTGCTTACACATATGCTAGCAACGAGAGGAAATGCTTTTAGATTCATTTTGCACATTCACAGCTACCGTCTAGCCCTTTCCTGGCAGACTTTGGAAAGCTCTGGAACCTTATCTCATGATCTATGTGCAAGACCTGTGTCCATTTTTCTTATTTTGGACAAGGGCTGATGCCTTATCCATTAGGCCACTGGGCAAAAGTGAATAGCCAGCTCTAGCTGATTTTCTTGCTTACACATATACTAGCTACTAGAGGAAATGCTTTTAGATTGATTTTGCACATTCACAGCTACCATCTAGCCCTTTCCTGGCAGACTTTGGAAAGCTCTGGAACCTTATCTCATGATCTACGTGCAAGAACTGTGTCCATTTTTCTTATTTTGGACAAGGGCTGATGCCTTATCCATTAGGCCACTGGGCAAAAGTGAATAGCCAGCTCTAGCTGATTTTCTTGCTTACACATATGCTAGCAACGAGAGGAAATGCTTTTAGATTGATTTTGCACATTCACAGCTACCATCTAGCCCTTTCCTGGCAGACTTTGGAAAGCTCTGGAACCTTATCTCATGATCTACGTGCAAGGACTGTGTCCATTTTTCTTATTTTGGACAAGGGCTTGACCGTTGACCCTTGACGTCACACGATGACGGGAAGCTTAGTCGTGTTGACTGGTGTCTATGTATAAGCAGATTTTCTTGCTTATACATATGCTAGCAACGAGAGGAAATGCTTTTAGATTGATTTTGCACATTCACAGCTACCCTCTAGCCCTTTCCTGGCAGACTTTGGAAAGCTCTGGAACCTTATCTCATGATCTACGTGCAAGACCTGTGTCCATTTTTCCTATTTTGGACAAGGGCTGAAATTGATTCATCCTGGACGATGCATTCTCGGCAAAGGGGCTTCCTATGATAAACAGATTAGCATCAACAAGCTCCTTATTCAGAGCTTGACTGCTCACATCACATGATTGTCTCGCCAGCAATTGACTAACTATGTTACAAAGCTTGCTTGGTGTGGTTGAGAG